GCCTTTTCCGTTTCTTTTTCTTGTCTTAAATTTAGAATCTGAATTTTGTTTCTGAGATTTTATTTTAAATAACACTGTAATTAGACAGCAATGATGTAAAGTTTACATACTGTGTGGCAAGATGCTGCAGAACATTTTAAAACTGGATTAATATATCTCCTGGCATGGATTCTTCACTGTGTGAGTGAATAGTGGTGAGTACTGTCTTACGGGCGATATGCTACCTGAGCAATGTTCAATAAATAATGTCTGACTTAAATTTTTTCAAAAACTGAGCACAATGATACTTTGTGGTCATAGTACTTTGGAGTACTTTCTTACTACATAGCTCCTCAGCAATGAATTTACTGAGGCTGCCAATTTTTAGCCAAAGCCTAGAAGGAAATGTGTTTGATGCCAGTAGGAAATTCAGCGAAAACATAACATTAATATCTATGCTATCCCGTAAATGTGTTTGTGAGAATGGTGTGCGTTGTTAAAATGCTTAATTCTAAAGCATGTATAAATTACTATTTTTAAGCAATTATATTTGAGGGGAATACCATTATGAAGGCAACATTCAGCCTATTTTATCAGCCACCAAGAGAATTAAGTGAGCTTGTGATAGGAAGAATAAATGATTATTCATCAGTCAGAGCTGAACATAAATTCTATGTCAACTAGCAGAGCTGTGTTACTAGCATTGCTGTTTGGCTAGACCTTCTAAATACTAGAGCTTGTCATGGTGAAGTTTGAGTAGAAAATTGCAAAATAAATACTCAGGTTGTCAGATCTGATTTTAATTTTCTTCTTTTGGTAGTGTTTTCATAGATTATAGAATTTTAAGTGAATGACCTAGTCACAGCTTCTCAAATATTTAGGTCCTCCACTTATTTGTCAAGAACCAAAGGAGAGCCTAATCTGGTAAACATTTTTCTCTCTCTTTCATATTGCAATTGCAATTGATGTGTCTTTTCTCTACTGAAGTAGTAGAGAACTGAAGAAAATAATCTCTTACTCTGTGTGTGTATATATATAAATATATAACAATGCTGAACTACTAACTGATTTGAAATTTTGAAGAAAAGTATAAAGATCTAGAACTAAGTGACAGATGGGGCAAAGTGTAACATGATAGGTCATGCTTGACTAGCCAGGTATATTTTAATATATAACTGATTTTCTAGACCAGGGAAATATAGTAGATTCGTTGATCTAGGATTTCTTAAGGCTTTTGTTGTCACCTACACCTAAAAAAGAATCAGAAAAAATTTGCAGACCAGGGGCGTGCTTAACATGTAAATTACAGGGCCAGAAGGCAGTGAGCCTAGTGGGCTTCTTAAAAATCTTGAACATGACTCATGAGACTTCAGCTTTTCTTATTCCGACAGCAGCATAAGAATTAGAAAGCTCCGATGAAATTTTCTGACAGTGCAGCACTAGGAGACATAATGGGGAAGACTGGGATATGTTGTAGTCATGATAAAGGCAGATTTGATTTTAGAATGTGTTTATTTAAAAGTATTAGTGACACTGGATAAGGGATTAGTAAAATCCCTCTGGAGTGCTAGGTGCAGTTTGTATTGTGGCTGTAATAAACTCAGGTGTGAGCAGAAGCGCAGAAGGTTGTGAGGTTGACCAAAGGAATGGAGTATCTAAAAACACTGAGGCTGCAAGAGGTGACTTGGTTAACACAATAAAGTTACTTAAACTGAAAGACAGTTTTGACTTTAAAAAAATAAATTAGCAATTAATGCACCTGGAATGGAAATTGGAATGCTTATAGTAGTCACAGGAGTGAAATTCAGAGAAGAAAAATGTACCTGGGCTTAAAGTGGAGCTCGAGCAGTTAATGAAAGGGGTTACATAGAGTGGTTCCCAGCCATAGAAGGGTGTTGTTTCTAGTTTTATGCTCCAAGTTCCTGTGTCCAAGGGTATTTAATTGCCCTTATAGTGCAAGATCTCACTGAATTTCAGCTTTGTATCATTTCATGTAATTGAAACATTAGGTGCTGAGAGTGCTATAAATGGAACACCTTTATGTGAAGCTCTAAAATCTTTGATACCTGATGGATTAATATCCGAACGAGAATATCTGTGTGTTAACGCAATGAACCAACAGTTGTGGAGGCGTGTACTTCAGGCCCGTGAGGGTCCCCCATACTAATGATTTGGGCTGTTTCTCAATTCCAAACGGACCTAACTACCTAGCAATATTATTTTCTTCCAACATGTAAAGCACATAAATTGAAAATTAGCAAAAAAAAAAACCCAGGAGGTTGAATACTGTTCAGAAATGTTATTTTCTTTTTAGCTTGTTCATGTGTATTTGTGTATGTAGAATACACTTGGAAAACTGTCGAGAAGCCTTCTGCACTGTTTAGTGGCACCTGCATTTGTCTGATAGGGCATCCAGATACATGTAGAAGGAAGAGCAAATGAAAGAAGAATGATTGGTTTATGTAGCTCACCTGTAAGACATATGGCTCATATTAATCAGTATCTTTTTCATAAAGCTTACTTTAAAATGATTGTGATGTTTATGGATAACCTTAGACGTCAGGCATGTGTGAAATGATTTACAACCTGATTTAAAGTGCCTAGTTTGTGAAGGTTATGTGTAGCTGTACTCAAAAAGTAGATATCCCATCAGCAGAGCTCCAGGCTCTGGATTTAGGTACTGCAGTAGAGTGAAGACTCCAGCATTAGGCATCTTTGGTCTCAGCATGGTTAATGATTTTGAGGTGAGGTGAGGAGGCAGGTGATTTTGAGGGTTGATACAAAGTTCTCGCCTGCTAAACAGGCATCCTCTAAGAAACGGTATGTTGAGTGATGAATCTAACTCCTCTCTTGCTTGTCAGGAACATAAACATTGGAGTTGAGGGCACATGGAACATTTTCGTGTGCTTAGGATCCAGACTGCTGGGTTTTCCTGAGAGTATGTGAATTAACAAAGCTCTATTTTTACATGAGGAATAATACCCTTATTTTGCAGGATGCCATGACACTTACCTATTAAGTAGCAATTCCTTATTGCTGAGTAAAGAGATTTCAGCTGGGAGTACATCTCCAGGAGAATACTCTTAACTGTGTGCCATAGAAAGTTGAGGAGTTTAAGAGGGTAGGGAA